CCAAAAGCCGGGAGCAGCATGAGAAGGAGGCGGGGAGTACTTTTGCTGCTGGGAAAAGCAGGGTACGTACTTATCCGGTCTCTTATGTTATTCGTTTGAGTTTGTATTGTATTTCAACCTTGATAGTCATATATTAGCTTTCATAGCTAGTGTTTTAATGGTTAAAGCTATATTCCATTATATTACAGCGTGTGGAGGTGGAACGAAGTTTGACTGATGCGCAAAGAGATGAATTTGAGGACATGCTGCGTGCCTTGACATTAGAAAGAAGCCAGATTAAAGAGGCCATGGGTTTCTCATTGGACAATGCTGATGCAGCTGGAGAGGTAATTACTTAAGCTAATGTTAGTAAATCATGTATCCTCGTTTTAGTCAATAATTATCATGGCAAAGCTAATGACTTATTGTAGATGACTTTTTTTTAAATTTAAGTTTGGCTCTACTGTATTCAGTGGAAAAGTTTGAAATTGATGGTTGCTATTGTTCCCAATTGTCCATGTTCTACCCTGAATATTAACTTTAACTGAGTTCTGAAATCAATGACATTCAACATCAATAAGATGACTCTTTCTGTTATCTGAAAGGTGGAGGGTCAAAATCAGAGCCAGGCTTCCAAATTTTTTACAGAGCGTGTGATATTCAATTTTAAGTCTTTGACTTAGGCAACTGTTTTTAATTTCAGGTTGTTGAAGTGTTAAGCGAGTCTTTGACACTTAAAGAAACACCCATTCCAACAAAAGTTGCGCGACTTATGCTTGTTTCAGATATACTTCACAACAGTAGTGCTCCTGTAAGGAATGCTTCTGCTTACCGGACCAAATTCGAAGCAACTCTGCCTGACATTATGGAAAGCTTTAATGACTTGTATCGTGGTATAACAGGACGAATGTCTGCTGAAGCTCTTAAGGTAAGCAATGTTTTGTTAAGCTCATTTTACGTAACGGCTCACCTCTGCTATATTGCCTCTTTTTTGTCCTCCTGAAGTAAAGATTTGTTTTCCTTAAAATTATTTACAGGAACGTGTTCTAAAAGTTCTTCAAGTATGGGCTGATTGGTTTCTATTTTCGGATGCATATGTGAATGGACTGCGAGCTACCTTTCTCAGATCAGGTAACTCAGGTGTGATACCTTTCCATTCTATATGTGGCGATGCACCTGAGTTAGAGAGGAAGGCTAGTTCTGAAGACAATGGTGATGGGGAAAAGATTAAACAGGATGCTGCTTTGGCAATCGGTAAAGGGGCTGCCATGAAGGAGTTGCTGAATTTACCCCTTTCTGAGCTGGAGAGACGATGCAGGCACAATGGGTTATCTCTTGTTGGTGGAAGAGAAATGATGGTTGCTAGGTTACTTTATCTGGAAGAGGCAGAAAAGCAAAAAGGTTACGAGTTAGATGACCAATTGAAGTCTACACATAACCAGTCAAGTTCAGGTAGATACCCAAGTGGGCGAAAAGAGACCAATTTTGATTTGGATCCAATGGAAGTGTCTGGCTGGAATAGTCACTCAGAGGATGATATGCAATCTAAAGGAAGAGGATCCACGTCCTTGCCCCTATCAAATCCTGTTTTACAGCCCGAACTCAACTCCTTAATGAGTGAAGGAGAAAACAAATTCATCCTGCCAGTCTCCAAGTGGGCAAGAGAAGACGATGAAAGCGATGGTGAACAGAAAAGAAGCCCACGGGATCTGGGGTTGACATATTCGTCTTCTGGGAGTGAGAATGCAGGCAATGGTCTCAGTAAATCTGAGGACATGGAGCTCACTACTGGTGCAAGCAATTCAGCACATCTTGATGGTGGAATGAATGAAGAACAAAGGTACTAGCATGCTTAACATTTGTTATTGATGGTAAAACCTTTCATTTCATTTTATATGGTTGATTTTGTTCATTGCATGCTTCACCTTGCTTTCAATTGATCTACTTTGTTATTCTGGAATTTTAGAAGAGTTGGGAGGTATCTTAGGGTGTGTTTGATTACATTTATTTTCCATTGAAAATATCAGTTTTTCACCCAAATTCCTACTTAGAGTGTTTGATTGCTATTTTTTTCCATGGAAAACATTTTCCAATTTTTGAAAATATGTTTAATTTTCCTTGTTTTTAAGGAAAACATTTTCCTTGGGTAGAGGTGGTTTTTATTTTCCACAAAAGATGGAAAATATTTTCTTTTCTAGGTGATATTTTCCATGTCAATCAAACACACTCTAATTTACTATTGACCTCTGATGCTTAGATTCTTCGAAATGGTCCGTGTTGGACATGACACAACATGGGTATGGGTATGGAATATGTGTCGGATTCTCCAAGTTTCAACTGGACACTTCACCGTTTTTGCATATATATATATATATATATTTTTTTTTTTTCCTTCTCTCTCTAATCCTAGCGCTGCTTTCGAGATGGTGGAGAAAGGTGACGGCGCTAGATTTTTCCCCTTCTAACTTTTCATAATTAAAAACTAAGCCTCAAAATTTCATTTTATTCGTCTTAACCTCGTATTTAATACTCATTTCCTTCTTTATGAACAATTGATTTTCATATATTCAAAATGACATTTTGGGATCGTAAAAAAATTGAAGCTTGAAAGACGTACTCACATGCTCGTGTCTGAAATCTGGACTCTTTTTAACCATATTCCTATGTCCTATATTTTAGAAAATAAAAGATTCGACACTTAATATGTACCTGAGTCCGAGCATCATAGCTTTTGATTGGTTTATAAAAAAGTTGAAGGTATCTTTAGCTTTACATGATTCTCGGGAAACGTTAATTGATGTTTGCTGTTGTTGACTGTATTTAGTATTTGGGCTTGTAAGTTTTAGCAAAGTAGAAATGAAAAATATCCTTCAGTTTTTCGAACATTTCCAAAGGATTGTGAGAGTTTGCTGTAATATGGTGCTTGATCATGGCTACATTTTTACAGACAAAAGTTGAGGCTACTTGAAGTTGCTTTAATGGAATATCGTGAATCTCTTGAAGAACAAGGAATAAGAAGTCCTGCGGAAATTGAAAGAAAAGTTGCAATCCGTAGGAGTCGGTTACAATCTGAATATGGTTTACTGGATTCCAACCCTGATGCTTCTGGCAGAAGTAAGCGAGCAGATAGTGTTTATATCAAATTCTTGATGAGCCAATATTATTGTTATATTTTTTATTATGGTATTTTGTTTCTTTATGCATGATATCTTTTACACTCTTTTTTTTGGTGCAAATGTATTATTCTATCAATTGTGTTTCTCATCTAATTTTTCATGTCAAACATTAGAGTTAGAGACTGCACGATCGCTCTGGATATATTGCTGATACTGGATTTTCTGATATGTGACTCAGCCACTTAGGGGAATCATAAACAGAGACTTTTTGTAGGTGCTTTGTGATGTGATGAACTGCATAACGCGAGAAAAACAAGAAGAAAGTGAAGAACTGATTAGTAAATTAACACATGAATAACATGGTTCAAGTCAATGAGCCCTGAGTCTGTGCAGTCTATGATTCCACTAAATGGTTATTACAAGAATTTGTCGTCGTCTTTAGCCTAAACCCTCTTTAGTCTTTACACCCTGATATAATGAGAGACCCTTGAAATTTAAACTAGTGAGTGATAAGTTGCATACTTGATTCTGTTGTCTGACTTGTTTTTTCCCATTAAAATTGGGTTTTTGAGCCATTTTGTGGAATCATAAACACTTCTAAAGTTTTTTTAGGTGCTTTGTGATTTGAAAAACTGCATAACGTGAGAAGAAGAAAAGTGAAGAACTGATTAGTAAATTCACACTCCAATAACATGGTTAGGTCAGTGAACCCTGAGTCTATGTTCAGTGTGTGGTTCCACTAAATAGTGATTACAAGAATTTGTCATCATCTTTCGCGTAACCACCCAAATATAATGAGACCCTCGAAGTTTAAATTAGTGAGTCCTAAGTTGCAGACTTGATTCTGTTGTCTGACTTGTTTTTTCCCGTTAAAATTTGTTTTTATGGAAGTCTTCTTTTTGTGATTTTTCATTAATTTCCCTATAATAGGAGTTTACTGCCATAAGTATTTCTCCTATTTTTGCAGTTGTCTCATCATAATTTACATTTTATGAACTGCAGAGAGGGGAAGAAGGGACGATTCCCGTGATCCTTCAAAAAAGCAACGTCACAGCCAAGGCAGAAGCGAAAGCCCTCGAAGGAAATTATCTACCCAAGAAAGGGGGAGGGATATTGATGCAAACAGAGATAGGGAAGTGCGTCGTGATTGGGAAAGAGATCATGATCTCGAAAGTGAAAGGATAAAGGACCGTGACCGTGACCGTGACCGTGACCGTGACCGTGACCGGGATCGGGATCGGGATCGGGAGAAGAGTGGAAGCAGGGAGAGAGGCGACTATGACAGAGACAAGGCAAGAGAACGTAGCAGGGACAGGGACAGGGACAGGGGACGTGTCAAATGAGTTCCGTTGCCATTATGCTTGCACCACACTAATTGAGATGGTGAAATTAGCTTCAGAAGTCGATTTTGAAGGGATTATGTTTACGAATGGGTTTGTAGTATGGTAACTGGAAAGTCCCTGATTATGACTCTTCAGAGATGAATTCCAGTTTTGTTTTGTCTGCAGTGTTTTCTATGCACTATCGAGTCAAAATGTTTTAAGTTTTACATGAGAGTAGTTCCTGTTCAACAAATATTGTAGCCATACTTGGTCTGATGAAATATCAGTTGTATTCCATTTTTCGTGCTAAAAGGGTGTTCGGCCTTACCCCTTACCTGGATTGCTATATTTCCTTGATCATATAATAGAAAACAGTAATCGAGCTCAACATCTTAAGCAAGAATATATTTCAATTTTTACCTACTCCAATCCTAGTAATTTCAATCAAATCCATCGACCATCTTTGAGTTTTTATTTAACTTTCCGGTCTGTTATGTGGTAGAGTCACGGTGTGGATTGGAAGTAATCGGCATTGCATCCTTCTACTCTACAACAATATTGAAGCTTGTAACGTGTCCGAACATTGCAGAAGGTCTGGCAACCTTTTTCGACTCTGAAACAGCCTTAACAAAATCATATGCACATGTACATTAACGTCGTCATGTCATTTCATTTTTCTCGACTGAAAAACCCAGTCATCCTTCTGAAATGGACGTTCTTACGTGCACTATGTGGACGTTAACAGGACTCGTAAGAAGACATTTCTCCGTGACAACTGTAAGAAGGCAATTTCGAAAAATTCACCATAAAGAAACTAATTATAAGCACATATTTACATCACAGGACCAGCAAGAACGAGCAAATGCAACATGGCAATGTCACATTGTAGAAGATTGAAAAGTTATGAGCGTCGGAGCTTCCTGAGCAACCACTTTTTCCTGAGGTTAACATCCAATGCCAAAAATGTCTTTGCTTTCCTCTCATCCTCCAATAGATCACAACCATCCAATAAAAGCTCATCATCGATGTCTGGTATCTCTTGAAGCGCCTCGATGGCACTCTCTATGGCAGAATAGTTTTTACCAGCTTCCTTATTTACCAACTTTTCGACCACCCCCGTGATGTTGGTAACAGGCCCTTTTATTTCTTCTTTGCCAATTTTTGGCACTTTGCTACAACGTTCGAAAACTGTCAACGCTTCTGTTGGTCGCTTTGTTGCTTGATCAGACGTCTCTGAATCAAGAACTGTTGTTGGAAGATCTCCAGAATATTTATCGGTGCTTGCATTAGTAGGATCTTGATCAAATTCTATTTTAACATCCTCATAGCTCAATTCTCCTTCCACCGTTTCAGTTGGTCCAAAAATAATACCCAAATCATTGTACTGCGGTTGGATTTTATCTTTATAAGAAATAGAGCCCGGGTTCTCCTGCAAATGAATGAAAATGGGTTGGCATTTATCAAAATACAAGTGCTTAGACGAGATGGAGAAACATGATATTATATCGCTTCGAAGCAATATAGTAACACTTTTTTCAGCGGAAAATAACCTTGTACCTTTCTATACGATTCCCACACATCATTATCAGCTACAATCATTTGTAGGGTTTCATTCCAAGCAAATCCATTTTGATTGAGGAGGTTGCTGATTTCATTGTATTGTTTCATCAAGCTGTGACAACGGTTTTCTAGAATATGTTGCTCGTATTGTACGCCAAATTTTTCTTTAAACGTCAAGGTCATGTGAGCCAAAGCTTGCTCACTAAATGTACCACCAACTTTATTACCTTGGTGCACCTGCTCCAGCATAAGGTCAATAAGATAGCGTTCCATCGACATGGTCCAACCTTCAATGGCATCTATACTAGAAGAGGAATCTTCATCCTTCCCATCACCTACTAAATGGTGATATTTTGTACCAGTGAATAAAAGTTCTTGGGAAACAAAGAAATGAACGCAACAAAAAATGCTTCAAGGATGAGTCTGCCACTACATAAGCACATGGATTCAGGTTTTCTATTTTAAAAAACAGCTCCAACAATTTATTTTTAAGAGAAACAGAGAAAAAAGAGGCTTATATTACGGCCATATCAGAAAGAAGCAAACATATTTACAGAAACCCAAAAAAAATAATCTCTGCATCGTGCATTTTAACAAATCTTGCATGTAAAAAGTTTGAACAGAAACATAACTACCCTCATACCAGGAGTTTCAGTAGTTGGAGCTATGCTGTCAGCCAAACTGTTGTATCCTCCTTCGAGCTTATCATGTCCGTATATGACACATAATTTGTGATAACATGGTACTGCTTTAACTCTATATGATCGAGCATCAGGATGTGCCTGCACGAATTATTCTTGAGAAATAGAAATCAACTAAAAATAGAAATATTGACAGGTATAAAAAGAACCTTAAGATAAGCATCCCAAACACAATCTTCAGCTGTCACCATTTCTCGGCCATCATCCCATGAAAAACCACTATGCTGCAGAAGGATCTTGACATCATTATATTGCTTTTTAAAATGTTTGTATCTGTTTTTCAAAATTTCCTTGTCATGCTGAGATCTAAATTTTTCATTGAATGATGCAACCATGTCATTCCAAGCTTGGGTTATGAATGATTGTCCAATTCGATTCCCTTTACGCACTTGCTCAAGCATTAAGTCAATGAAAAAAAGGTCCATTGGTGGCGTCCAATATGTTCTTGAGCGCACACTGCCTGCAAATTCGTAAATTGATGATGGACAATAGCTAAACTAAAGAATTAAAAAAAACAAAGTACTCTCACTTTCTAAATGAACTTATAGCAAAACAGTTTGGAGTGTGACTAAGCAATGTTACAATACAACCAATGGAAATTGGCTCCTGAAAAAGAGACAAAGACAGACATATAAGAACAAAATGAGAGGCATGCTTAGATAATACGTGTTGGATAGAAAAACAAGGTAAAGGATAAGGTCTTGAACTTCTTTTATAAAACACAATCCAAAATAAATATGAAAGAAAATACAGGGAAGATCTAAGGATTAAAGTAGTTATAAGATATAGCCTTAAAATTTTCATTGTCAAGGTCTATCTCTCTTGCCATTGATGGATCCAAATCTCTTTGCTGGTAAAATGACTGCTTGACAATTGGGAAAACCATATAGTATTAGTATAGTACGTTGACTACCTTGTCCACCAGGATGGTTTGTTCCACACAATACCAGAGCATGTTGAATTAAGCTTATATGTAAGTCAAACTTAATTTTAAGCAAATATTTGTATCTGAAGATGTTTGAATAAATTAATTTTTAAGTAACAGAAAATAACTCATAATGGAAAAAAATAATTATTTATTCTAAAACTTAGTTACTTGCACATAAAGTTTTAAGCTTAGCCAAACAGGCACTTAGTATTGTTCAAACATAAATACTTATCATGCATATCTAACGATCATAATTTGTCATGAAGATTCTTATAACTCAAAATTTCAAGGTTTAACACTGTCAATTTTGTTCCTCCTGAACCTACTGATTCAGAGCTTGACACATAAGAAACTACAAAAAAAAAAAAAAACAATATGCATTGTACACTGAAAGAGCAACATATTTCCTCCTTTCTTGTTGAGAAATTGAACGTACCGGCATTTGCAGCTACAGCCTTATTTCTAGTGCCTTTGTCTTGATGGGAATTACTCTGGCTTTCCTCGCCGATTATGTCCCCAATTATCAGTCGCAAGTTGTTATAGTTCGGAAAGTTTTTGTTTCTAAAAGATAGAGCATGTGGATGTGCCTACATATGTCATGTGAGCCTCCTTGAACAATAAACAAATAAATGCTGCATTCAAGATTAAGTGGTATACCTTAATATAGGCATCCCAAACATCGTCATCAGCTATCACCATTTGCTCTTTCTCATCCCAGCAAAAACCTTTCTGTTTAACCAAGGTAGTTAAATCACAATAGTACTTCCATAATTTTTTGTAACGGTGTCTTAAAACTCTTTTGCTATAATCTGCACCAAATTTTGCATTAAACAACACGAGCATATCTGTCCACGCTTGTTTTGTGAAAGTATTGTCATGCTTATTGCCGCTTTCTTGTTGGGTCAACATCAATTTAATAAAATAATCGTCCATATCTGGTGTCCATTCTGTCCTTGAACTACTTGAAGGGGCTATACCATTATTTCCATTACCTGTCAAGAAAGGGTTTATTATTTAAGCTTTTTCATGAGAAAATCATTACACTGCCTAAAAATTCAAAATCCTTATCATCAGGGGAAAGATAAATTTAATTTTTCACTCTCTCTATGCTTGGATTCACGGTATGATTTATAGGCAACTCATAAGTAAACCTCAGTGGTGTCAACAATTATATCACATTACCAGCATTAATAAGAGTATTCCTGTTGAATTTTAAACTCCAGTTTGTGGAAGAATTAAAAAATGATGACCTATCAAATGTCATAAACCAAAATATAGGGAGAACATGCACCGTTTTTAAAGTTTTGTCCTTATCAGTAAAGCAACTATGGTCACACAAGCCAAGCCAACTTTTCCAAATTGAGGAGTCAAATTAACCAACTAGAGTATGAATTGAAACATCCCAATTTTACTGAAGTCCTACAGCAAGAAAAGGCAAACATACCTAAGATTGCCCCCTGAAGATTTTCATCTTCAACATCCATATCATGACTTGAACGGCTGTACCTTCCATCAGCAACTGTATACCCATATATCAAGCACAGGTCATCAAAGTTGAGTATTGCTTTTGTCTTGTATGGCCGTGCTTCTGGATGAATCTGCATGCAATTTTACGTCAATAAGTAACAATATTGTACATTAAGATATAGCAGATAAGGTAATAATAATAAACCTTGATATATGCATCCCACAAGTAGTCATCAGCCACCACCATTTGTCTAGTTTCATCCCAAGAAAACCCACTTTGTCCAAGGATATTCTTGATATCATTGAATTGCTTCCACAAATTTGTATAGCGGCTTTTCAATACATCTTTGTCGTATTGAGATCCAAATTTTGCATTAAAGACAGCCAGCATATCAGTCCATGCTTGCTTGTTAAAGGTATGTCCAGTTCTATTCCCTCTATGAATATGCTCTAACATGAGATCAATAAAATATCTTTCCATCGTTGGTGTCCAGTATGTTCTTGAACCATGACTGCTTGCCGGATTTTGGCTACTCATTTTACTCTATTCTAAACACGAAGACTAATAAAAGCCATCTATCTGTAAAAAGGGAAATATATACAACTTCATGATGCAGAATATCATAACTGACTCTCAGGTTAAAAGAAATTAATAAGAAGAAACTCTAGTTCTATCTCAACAGCACAACTGCAGATATATTACAACATCGATATGCAAAATTTGCCAAATTTAACTCTAGATAAGGAGTCATATTTCATTCGTGCTTTTACATATCAAAATTTATTACAGGTATCAAAATTAAACAATACAAAATGATCAAATGATGAAAACAATATTTAAATCTCTCATTCTTTGGGGGCATTATGATCCTCTGTAATGACTTCACTATCATTCTCGCTTCTAAGACCAAAGAAAAAAAAGGCATTCCACGAATTTTCTCTTAGCTCTAGTCGACCAAAAAATTATAGATAATAAAGTGCTCCTCCAAAATTAAAATGCACGAGCAGTTTTTATGAATGTAACAAATTTATTCTCATAACGCCAAAAACAAATCCATTTCTTCGTATTTCAACCTATATCAATTTTTTTTCTCTTCGCTATAATAGATAACAATCCTTGTCAAATGCTTGAGAAAAGAATGAGCTTCGTTGTAGTGCAAAAGTAATCTACTCTAGAAATAACTCATAAACATTCACAAATCAATTTCTTCATATTTCAACTTGTATCAAGTTTTTTCCTTCGCCACAACTGATAACAATCCTTGTTAAAATCTTGCCAAAAGAATGAGTTCCCTAGCAGTCCCAAAGAAATATACTATGGAAATAACACAAACATTCACAAGAAACACCTCTATGTTCTACTATAAAATGATTTAACTCGACTGGGTGGTTTAGCGTCTTAAAAATTTAATCTTTATCCCAACATCAAAATAAACCCGCAAAACAAAAGCATCAAAATTCAAATGGGTTTTCACGATTATTACCAATTCAGAAAGTAAAAATTATCGAACTCAATTGGGTTAAAAATGTTCCTCGTCATATATAGCATTGAATCAAGTATTTTAAGTTGATTAGAACAAAAATGCAGTATAGAACAGCATTGTGTGACAGACTGCTACAGAGACAAATATTGAAAAAAGGACAAGAAGTATAAATTTTACCCGTTTGGCTTGGGGCATAAAGGAGGAGGTGCTTGGTAGCGAATGAGCAATGGGGGGTCGATTGGGGAGGAGACAAACCCTGATCCGGAAGCCAGGCAAACTTTGTCAAACCTGATTGGATATGGATACTAGAAATTTACATCAAATATTACATACGCCCTTTATTTTTTATTTTTTTTTTCATAAATTGCAAAAAAAGACCCAATACTTTTTCCTAAAATAATATTATTGAATCAAATAACCAGGAACCCGACCCATTTAGCCTCTGTTTAGTTTAAATAAAAATAATACTTTTAATAAAATTTGATATGTTGTAAAAGGAAAGTTTATTAGGGTTTAGAGGTGAATGACAATTACACCCATGATGCCCTATAAATAATTACTGTTGTATCTCTGATACTATCCTATAAATACAAGGCTTTGGTTATTAATAAAACATACAGAAGTTCATTGACTTCTTTTTGTTCTCTTTTCTTTTTTCACTTTCATAACACGTTATCAGCACAATAGTTTAATTTTTCAAAATTTAGTGAAGATAATAATTTTTATAGGCATGGATATTTATCACGTGTACCAAAATTAATTTGGTAGCATATGAAATATTGCAATATACATATGCAATATAACGATGTTGCTTCTTTTTTTTTTTTACTTTTCATCGGCATGCATATTAATTCCAATTCACTTTTGTATGCGTAATCTGAACACATATTAATTCACATTTTTTTATTCATACACAATCATTTTTTCACATATTATTCAGTATTAATTATGTATTTTGAATCTGTTATATATTAGTTCTATTTTTAACTTGTATATGTGTGAAATTCATATGCATGTCTAATATCTTTTGCATGTTGGTAAAAGATTTAACCAATAAGTGATTTAGCGAATTTTGTTAACTTCTATGTATGGAAATTCTTTTTCCTAATAAATGTTTGGTAATCAATTTTAAAATATAAATTCATATATTATCTATTTGGTAATTACTTTTTACATCATATTCTGTTTGTATGGTAATTAAATATTCTTTTCACGTGATGCTTGGAAGATTTTTTTCTTTACTTATACATTTTTTTATGATTAACTCTTGTATGTAAATTCATACCATGTCTATATGGTAATTAAATATTTTAGATGTTATTATATAAACTTTAACTTAACAATTTATCATGTTGTTGCTCATAGAGTATCACAACATTATAATTAATATTCTAGAGCCATATTAATTTAAAATCTATCTATTATGTATAGTTTGTTGATGTTCTTGAAGTAGCACAATACTATAATTAATATTTTTGAAGAATATTACTCGCTCCTGAAGAGTATAAATTATAATTTTCAATATTTTAGAAGAATATTGACATATTACTCGTAAAAAAGTAATAATAAAATACAATGTGCTTCTGAAGTAGCATATGTTTCGAAAAACATATTATTTTAGTGCTAATCCCTGAAGGAAAACACATAACTTATGTCATGATTAACTATTATGAGATGTCTAATCATATTCTTCGAAACTAATTGTACTTTCTCTCACTTTATTTAATAGTTAATCAAATGACAAACATCACGAAACCCGAGTTTGCAGCACTTGATATATCTGACAAAAATTATCTATTATGGGTACTAGACGCTGATATCCATCTTGTCTCAAAAGGTTTGAGAGAGACAATAACAGAAGGAAACAAAGAATCCTTGCAGGATCGTACAAAAGCACTTATCTTCCTTTGTCATCATCTTCACGATGGGTTGAAAATTGAATATTTCACTAAAAAGGATCCACAGGTTCTTTGGAAGAAATTAACTGAGAGATTTGATCATTAGAGAACTATAGTCCTTCCCAAAACCCGCTATAAGTGGATGCATATTTGTTTGCAAGACTTTAAAATTGTTAGTGAGTACAACTCTGAATTGATCAGAATATGTTCAAAATTGATATTGTGTGGAGAGAAAAATCACTGATGAAGACATGTTGGAGAAAACTTTTTCCACCTTTTATGTCTCGAACATGCTCCTGCATCAGCAATATTATGAGCTTGGTTTCAAAAAGTACACATAACTTATATCTTGCTTACTTGTTGCTGACCAAAATAATGAACTACTGATGAAAAACATGGATTACGTCCAACTGGTTCTGTACCAATGCCTGAAGCAAATGCAATATCAAGATAAGGACGTGGACGTATACGTGGAATAAATCATGAATGAAATAATCAACAAAGTTATCAACAATAAGGCAACAATTTCAAAAGGTACAAAGTAAACGAAAGTAGCACACCTAAAAAGGTACACGAAGAAAGTCGTTTTAGATGTGGAATGAAAGGGCATTGGACTCGTACCTGCCGTATGGCAAAACACCTTGTGGATCTCTATCAAAATTCAATCAAGGGAAAAAGAAAAGTGGAGACAAATTTTGTTGACTATGATGGTCCAATTGATGTGACCTATTTAAATGTCTCCGATTTCTTTGCTGATCCAAATGTGAATATTGACAATTTGATTGGGGGTGGTGTGATGAAAGATATAGATTAGTTTTTTTTTCATGCTAGTATTTCTCTTTATTTTAGAAATTTAGTTTGAAATATGTTTTTACTTTTCGCAAAAAAATTTAAACTTTATTATGCATCGTTAATTTCACAAGCACTCATTATGTTATCATTTTGAATTTAAATTCAAATTTTTTTTTTTTAAAAATATATCTATTTTGTTATATTGGTAGATTCATGATAGATTGTCAAGACACATGCTTGATTGATAGTGCAACTACACATACTATTTTTCTAGACAAAAAATATTTCTTGGACTTAACATTGGAAGAAAATAATGTCGATACAATATCAGGTACATCGAATATCATTGAAGGATCCGGAAGAGCTTGTATTATTTTACCAAATAATACAAATTATATATTGACGACACACTTTATTCTAGCAAATTTAGAAGAAATTTGCTTAATTTTAAAGATATCTGCTGCAATGGATATCATATTGAGATGATGCAAAAAAATAATACCGAATATCTTTGCATAATTTCTTTCGTATCTGATCAGAAGCAGATAAAAGAAAAATTTTATACACTCCCATCTGACGTGTATTTTACATTTATAAAAATGGATGAATCAAATAATGCCACGAACCAGAAGTTTTGTTGACCCAAAATGCTTTATTCTTTGGCATGATCGACTTGGACATCTACGAGCTATAATGATGCATCGAATAATAAACAATTCACATGGATATCCTTCAAAGAACCAGAATATTCTTTTACCTAATGATTATCCATGTGTAGCTTGTTCGCAAAGCAAGTTAGTCATTAGACCTTCAATTATAAAAGTCAATATTGAATCTCTAACTTTCTTAGAAAAAATTCATAGAGAAATATATGGGCCAATACATCCACCATGTGAATCATTTCGTTATTTTATGGTATTAATTGATTCTTCTATAGATGGTCACATGTTTGCCTACTTTTCACTAGAAATGTAGCCCTTGCTAGACTACTTGCTAAAATTATAAAATTACGAACACAATTTCTCGATTACTCAATTAAAACTATTCGCCTTAACAATGCTGCTGAATTTAGATCACAAGCATTCAATTATTGTATGTCAATCGAGATTGTAATTGAATATTCAATTACGCATGTCCATACACAAAATGGTTTGACAGAGTCATTTACTATACGTCTACAACTTATTGCTAGATCATTACTTATGAAAGCAAAACTCCTAACTTTTGTTTGGGGTCATGCCATATTACATGCTGCATCATTGGTTCGTATTAGACCAACTGCCTATTATCAATATCCACCTTTGCAACTGACATTTGGTTATGAACATGATATTTCTCACTTACGGGTCTTTGGTTGTGCTGTCCAAGTCCTTATTTCACCCCATAACGTACTAAAATGGGTCCCCAACGAGGACTTGGAATTATGTGGGTTTTGATTCACAATCAATTATTAGGTATCTTGAGCCTTTAACGGGTGACTTATTTATTGTACGTTTTGCAGATTGTCATTTTGATGAAATGACTTTCCCAACTTTGAGAGGGGAAAAACTACATCCTGAAAAATAAAGTAAAATTACTTGGAATGAAGCAACTCTATCTCATTTTGATCCCGAGCAATCAATGTGAGCAAGAGATTGAAAAAAATCATTCATTTGCAAAGAGTTGCAAATCAATTATATGATATATTTGTTGACACAAGAAAAGTGATAAAGTCATATGTTCTAGCAGAAAATATTACAGCAAAAATTGATGTCTCTGTATGACAATCTGTTGTAGCAAATGAATCTCAAATATGCCAGAAGCGTGGTCGATCAATTGGTTCAAAAGACTCTATACCTCGAAAAAGAAAGGTACATGGAAGAAGTCACATTAGAAAATATTGATCAATCAGATATTGAAAATACATTTCTTGAAGAACCACAAGTGTCTGAAAATAATGATATTTCAATAAATTATATATTATCTCATAAATTATGGGAACGAAATAATGTTGTTATAGACAACATTTTCGTCTTTAATGTGGCTCTTGATTTCATGTAAAATGGGGATCCTGAACCACTGTCGGTTAAAGATCATCAAAATAAAAATGATTGGCCAAAATGGAAAGAAGTTATACATGCAGAATTGAATTCTTTGGAGAAACAAAAAATGTTTGGACCTGTAGTTCGAATACCTGAAAATGTAATCTATGTTGGATACAAATGCATTTTTGTACAAAAGATGAATGAAAATAATGAAATTACAAGATACAAAATCCTACTAGTAGCTCAAGGTTTATCAGAAAAACCAGGAATTGATTACGAAGAAACATATTTTCCCGTAATGGACACTATCACTTTTAAATTTTTAATTAGTTTGACTGTATCACAAAAGCTTGATACGCGTCTTATAGATATAGTAACTGCATATTTGTATGGTTGACTTGATAGTGACACACACACACATAT